TCTATGCTGCCTTTAGGGGTTTTCTTATTGGCCTATGCTGTGGTGGCTTTCCCTTTGCTCCCCTTTACCCGTGAGCCTTCCTGCAGCATTTCTTTGGTGTTGTGACATGGTTCATGCTTGTTTGTTTTTTTTCTTTTTGCTGCCTCCCTCCTCGCCTTACCCGTGAGTTGCTCTAAGCTGTTTGGTGGTGGCTTTTGCGATCATTTTTGTCCCTTTTATGGGCCTTACTCGAGAGCATATATTTGATTTCTTTTTTGTAATGTTGGATGTAGATCTCATTGTACACTTTTGATGAAGGATGGAAGTAAATTATTTTGGAAGATTAGAGAGTTATTTCTTCTATTGGTTAATGTTCCTTCTTTTGTGAAATATAAAGGGCTTGTACAAATTTCATTTGGAGGAAACATAAGGTCGATGCAAGTTGAATATATGAAGGGTTCGGAAATTCATAAAATTGTCATTTGGAAAGGATATTCTTCTTGAGTTGATCCATTTATGAAATGTGAGAAAATGATATCCTTCTAGGATTGATTCAAGGATCTTGGGCTCTCTTTTGAGGATTGTTTCACCCTTTTTGTCTTTCAATCTTTTGGATGAATCAATTCCTCCTCTCTCATCCCCATTTTTATTCTTTTTTTTTCTTGCTTCTTGGTTCGGTTTTCTGTGTTTATATCTGACACATAAGTGTTCATGTATAGTTTTTTGCTATGTGTGAAACCATCAAGCAAAGTCGCAAGTAGATCGGTTTTGTTTTGGGGCGTAGGGTGATTATGACAAAGGCACGTCAATGATAGAGCATAATGATATCTCATCCTACAACACCAGGACTTAATCCTGGGGCCTGATGAACTGTAGGATGAAAGTATCATTCACCACATAAAACTAGATGGAGACCTGCACCTTCTTAGGTTGTTGGTAGTCATATGTCCGATGACATGATCGACTTGTGGACAACTATACCTTTTAAAATTGATAAAATAAATTGATAATAACAAATACAATATTTATAAAAATATTTACATTTACAAAATTTAAAAAAAACAACTTTTCTTCTGTATACTTGAAATATGTGTATGCTAAAGCTTAAATTTTAAAATATGTTATATTTGGGTTGTCCACTTGTTGATTACCGATCATGGGCTAAGGAGTACCCTCCTAAGTTAGGTTCAGTAGGATATCCTTCTAATGGAGTGGCGGGTTTTATACATCCGGGTGACCGAGTAGCCTTCGACAACCCTCGAGTACAAATATATATATTTGAGCCTAAGCCCTAATCCGAGTGCTTGCGGTCCCTTCTATTCGGACTTTTTTGTATGTTTTTCTTGAAATTTTGGACAAAACACTCATAGTCTCTTTTCTCCGGGATTCTCCCGAGGTTTTGACAGTGTTATTTAAATTATTACTCATCAATTTTCTCAAATTTTCCATCGGGGATTATTTGTCAATTTTCTCGAATTTTCTAGACAATGTTTCTTTCGCTTATACAGTGAATACTAGTTAGCTTAAAGGAGCAGACCTCTTAAATACACATGTGTGATTTACATTACAACATTTTATAATATGCATGTTATACTGTTTTCCTAATCTGCTATAATGTCTTCTTAGTTTGTTGTACTTTTCTCCTAGCATGCTATACTGTTATTTCTCTTTACTGTACATTATATTTGTTCTTTTCTTTTATACTGCATGCTTTGTTACTTTGATGCACATTATACCTTAATTTAGGAGAATCTAATGGTTATATATAGGATTAATAACAGACCCGGAGGGGCTACGCCGAAGAGCTTGGAGCAAATAATGTGGCACGACGAGGACATTCAGAAGTGCAACTTAAGATTGATTAGCAACACTAAAACAATTTCACATCTCCTATCACTTTTTTAGTTTAAATAACAACCCAAAACATCACCTTTAGGCTTTTGCACAACCTTATTGTGCAATTATAAGTCATAACACCTTTATGATTCTGAGGTTATTGTACGGTACGGTGTAAATCCTCCTATCTTTTTAGGCTATTTGCATGATTAGATATTATGCGAGTATAAGTCCTAAATTTTAAATAAATTACAGGATTAAATATTAAATAAGATCATTTCAAAGACATAAAACTAAACAATAGGACAGTTGGGAAGTCACCGAGATTTTTCTTGGATCTGTGATATCCTCTACTTTTCATTCCTTTAAATTCATTAAAATAATCGTCCCTATTTTGAGCAACTCCCACTTGATCTTCCCATGTCCAATCTTGGAAACCTAAACTTTGAAATCTTGAACGCAAAACCACTGATCTTAATCGAGAGGTTTTCTTAAATGAACTCAATCATTTAAGATGTAATTAACTATAGGGGTTTGCCTCTATAGGGAACTTAGAACTCAGGTAAATTAAACTCTATCTAATTTTTATATTACGTAGGGGAACTTGTTGGTCTCATATAAAATATTTCGCAGACCAAACGGATATCACAAATTCTTTAGTTTAGGTGATTGAACCTACTACAAATGATATATTTATTCTACGGAATAAGTGTATTATTTGTGATACAGTGCTTAGTCAACCAAACTATTCAAAATGTGGACTCGTTTGGTCTCACCTATTTTTAAATCAAAATGTTACTTTCAAAAATCATATTCATATCAAAACTATGTTCATATTTTCATATATTTTTCAAAACCAAAATTAAAACGACCGACACTCCTCTGTGATAATCCTCCCTCTCTTCTTCTTCTTCGTTGGTAGACTAAGGCATGGGTTCCTTCACTGCTCCCACCTTCTTCGCTTCTCTTCGCACCGGACCGCAAGAAGCTCAACAGAACTCCTTCGCCTTCCCCTTTGACTCGACTCCCAAGTAAGTCGTCTATCATGATTTATAAGCGAACTTCACCTATTCAGCTTCCCGATCCTTTTGCTTCACCTCCCCCCTCTTTGGCTTCCCGACTCATTTCCTTTCTCATGACTCCTCGATTCTTCTCCTGAGGTGAATGAAACGGAATGTCACATGTAACCTTTAATTGCTATTAAAAAGTATATAAAAAATTATAGGCCGAAAAAATTTTTCAAATTTGGAGAAGAAAAAAATTTACGACATTAATATGGTAAGTGTTTAAGTCTTTTAAATTATATAATTTATTTTAATTAAATATGTTACGGGTTAATATTAAATTTTACAAACTAATAACAATGATTAATTTTAGCAAGCAATCAAATTAAAAGCTTGGGAGGGATTGAGATCGACTTTTGTGTAATAGAGGAAGAGGTTAAGTGAGAAATCATACATAGAAAAATATGTGGTTCTAAAAATAAGAAGACTTGACAAGAGTAAAGAAAGATTAGGGTTTTATTGCCAATGATATTTTATTTAATTTAATGTTCTTTAATATTAGTATTAATTTCAATGATTAAACTTAAATAAGAAGATTGAAATCTTAATTAAAATGATATAAAAAGAAAATCATTAATAATTAATAATTAATTAAAGCATAACTAAGTAATTTGATAAAATTTATAGCATGAAAATTTTTATATATTAAATACGTTAACTTGAAGGATGCAAAAAAGCTTTTAAGTTATAGTGATGTTTCTTGTTTTTAAATACATTCATGTTAACAATTTTTATTTATTATTTACTATGTTTTATATCAATGAAATTAAACTCCTAGAAATACGTCAAATTCTCACATGACCTTAAATTCTTGTAGAGAGATATCTAGTATATTATTACACGATCTTTAGAAGTATGTATGTTAAAAGTCCTACATAAATCTATTGCATAATAGTTTATTTACGAAATTATTAGATTATTGCACGTCATTTTGATTCCAATAAAAATGCATTTATTCATTAGTAGATGAATGGAAGCGTCTCATAACAAAATAATACATCCTAATGAAAATAGTGTGTGTGTGTGCACTCGCCCATGTGTGTGTGTGCGCGTGCGCGTGCGTGTTAAGAGGATTTCACTTCATTATGGTATTGGATGAGACGTCAATATACCCACGCACGTAGATGTCTTCTTGCCATTTCAGACAATTGTGAAACTTAGACCACTAACTGCTATGCCGACTGTAGAGTATCGACCAAGAATGAGTAGGCATCCTCCCGCCTCATACAATTTGATATTTAGATCATTAATCGTTGTGCCGAATCGATCAGGGCGGGATTGCATATTTCCATCTCAAACAATCGTGTAATTTAGATCATGATCCGCTGCGTCGATGGGATAATATCAGTCGGGGGTAAGTTAGATTATGTTTTGACAGTGCTCATAAGATGGATGTGAAAGTTAAAGAGTATAAAATAAAAGTAAAATTAACTACTAAACTTGAAAAGTAAGGATAAAGTTAATATATATCGAAGTTTAAGTTATTTTCATTGAGTAAATGTTATGGACACGTACAGAAGATTATCATAAGATTTTTATAGTGAATATGAAAGACTAACACGCATATTACTTTCTTTTCCTTGAATTACTGTAGTCTATAAGTGTGATTGCTACAGTTGATTATCCTAGACAACTATTATGTTGTTTCAATAATTTTTTTCAGACTTTATGTTTATGAATAAAATGAATAATAAAAGAGCTAACGTGTACAGGTGGCAAGATCAACATCTAGAAAGAAAACTTTTATTGTTAATTAAAGTATTTTAGTTTTCATTAATATTTGGATATTAAATTATTAATGACAGAAAAAGAATAATTGAAAACTTAATTTCACCATCCGACCGTCTATTCCCTCCTAAATTAATTCAAAGCCCCGTACTAGATCAAGACAGCATATATATTGGATCCAAAGAGCTATTAGTGGAGAAAAATGAGAAAACATTGCACATTAAGTCAATATGTTGAACGAGAAGTGGCATATGAAAAGAAAATGCTAGATAATCAAACAATAAGAACAAAATTTGAAAAAGAACATCTTGTATATGATATAGTTAATTAATGAGATAGAATACTTCTAGTTATCAGTTTATACTAATGAAATTGATGATTTGTATAACTTACCTTATAGAGCCACCTATTTGACGGAGAGAGGACTGTGGAACACGTCTCGAGCTCTGAATCCATGGATGCTGAAGCAAAGATCTTGCATCTGGTCTTTGCATTGCATCCTAAAATATTATTGCCAGTAAGCATAGTGACTTGATAGACCCCGACGTAGTGCAGAATTGGCGCTTCTTGATAACAAAGGGGAAAATTAATTTATTAAATTTCTAATTTTTCTCACCTTTTTGAAGCATTGGCGAAGAAAATCAGTAAGGTCAGCAGATAAGCCCTCAGGTATAGGAGGATGGGGATCCTAAGAATAACAAAGTATTATTACTAGTTAGAAAATATTTTAGCAGAAAGAGAGAGAGCTCTATCAGTAAAAAAAATTTATTCAAAGAAACTAAACAAGAAATTAATGACAGCAACAAATGATTTATGGAAGATGCTTACATACTGTACACTGCCTTATAACAACTGCTAAACATTTTGGCAGCCTTGTGAGTAGTCGTGCATTTTTAAATATCAAGCCTCACTACCAAAATCCAAAATCAACCTAAGCTATCCTCCTCTTTACGAGCTAACTTAGGCAGTTAGACTACTTTTGACGTCAAATATAACCAAGCAAGATAAATGTTCAAATCCTTTAAAAATGTTGCTGAACTAATGCTTTCAAAGTGAAATGTGCAAAGCAAAGCAAAGCGCAATAGCATAATTTCGGTAAAAAGAGTGGTGGTATACTTAACTGAATTTGTTCCAATCATAGTTACTTGTACCAAAATTTAAATAAACTTTATTATATTCTATCAATCTTAAGCGCATAAATAAAAAGTTACATTATTATGCAAAATTAAGTAAAATAATGATAATATTAAGACAATTTATTAGATAATACTGAGGATATATATATATATATATA